GGCATATATGCCGTCTTACCATTGCCGTTTGGTAGACGTCTGCTTACGATTAAAAAATTCTATACTGTACATTGCGCGTATCAAGTTCTGATAAAGCCTTATTTATACTGCTTTTTTATAAACAAACAGACTCAGCGCAACGTCTGTTGACCTGTTGAATATACAATCTACACATACGCAGACGAATCGGCGATGCGATCATGTTGTATGCTCGCCGCATGTATGTCAATACAAATCTATTCAATTCACACTATGTATCATGGTGTATACAACCGCAAGCTCAGATTTCACACAAGCGAATAATGTAAACAAAGCAAATCAGCTGTTGTTTCCAATGCTCTGTTTTCGTTTCTGTCAATTATCAGCTGTTCAGCGACTATCGCATTCAGTTTCCAATGGAACGCATTGGAAGTAATCAATTTCAGAACGCAATTCATGAACCAACTTCGGGCCATTTCACTTGATAAAATGCGAAATGTCATCTATTTTAGTTGCGTAATTCAGTTCATATCAATGAGTCAGTGAGTTATTTGATCAAGTCAATGCTAAAGCTATTAAATTGTGAGTTCAATTTTTTCGATTGATTTTCTGTAGTTTTATTCGATTCTAAGATTTTGATTTAAAGTAGAATTGTTGCAATAATACGCAGAGATTGGAATCGTATAAGGAAAATTATTGTTGAATTGGGAATTTCAACCAAAAACAAGCAACAATTCTTGTATTTCCAAACATTTGATCAACAAGACTTTATCAAGTGATTTAATTTTACGCATTTTCTTCGCTTGTTTTGATTGATTAGTGTGTCCAAAGTTCGGGAACCAAACAAAGACGAAAAATGATGATGAACGAATGCGATAACGTGCCAAAATTGTGTGAAACCAAAAAAGTGTGTCAAAATGTGGCGAAAAAAGAGGCTTTTCCGAATGGATCATCGGAGATATTCCTTCTGAACATCGATTGTTTCGAAGAACTGTTCGATTATTTATCGTTAAAAGACCTGCATTGCCTCGCTCAAACGTGTAAACGAATGCAGCGAATCGTGGGTGTTTATTTTGAAGAGAATTTTTCGGCGCTTGATCTTCGATGTAAACACGATGGAGCCTATTTGGACTGCTGTAGAAATGGGTGCAAAGTGCGAGGTCTGGATGAATTCATTCAAAAATTATCGATTCGAACGTTTGGTGTGAGTGATGTTGTGTTTGAAAATGGATACAAAATGTTTCGCTATGCCGGCGCCAACTGTAATAAGTTTCTGAGAAAAATTCAATTTTGTTTCGTTCAACTAACGGGCCGTGATATTGTCTGCATCAAAGAAATTCTGAGTAATGTGGAAACAGTGGCAATCGAATGTTGTCGAATGAATCGGAAATTCTATGAAAAATTCCCTCAGCTTTGTCCAAACCTGAAGCGATTGTATGTTTCAAATTTTGAATGCAATGGCAACGTTCTGAGGCGCACTGGAAATGAGTGGCTCCTACGCAACTGGCCAAAATTAGAGCATCTGGGATGGAGTCAATCGGGCAACGACTATAAAATTAATGAGATAAAGACTTTTTTCGAATTAAATCCGAATGTTTGCAGTTTTTCGACTAATTTGGATTGCCTTTGGGCCAGTCGCCACCTGATTCTCGAATCCAATGTAAAACTTGATGAATTGACGGTTGAAATTTTCGATTGGGAACGACCAATCGGCCGACGGACCAATGATTTTTTCAATGAACTATATGAACGAGGTGTTTACAAGCGGCTTCATTTACACAACCCATTTTATGATGAACATCATCAACATCTCATGGAACTTGGTTCAATAAATGGCCTCGAAGCATTGCGACATTTGGGCCTCGTGGATGGAATAGATTTTCCGGAATTGGAACATCTCAAAGAGCTCAGAACTGGCTTCAAGTCATTTTCACCGAATGCCAATGTTTTGGCGAAAAAGTTACAAAATCTCGAACGACTTCACATGCGATTTGCAGCCATCGAGTATTTGCTACCGTTCATCTATTATTCGGCTAAATTGAAGGAGGTCAAAATTGACGCTGTTAGAAATCAAGAAGAGTCCAAATATGTCCTTGATTTGGTTGCGTTAAACAACGAGAGACAGAAATTACCATATGCACGCAAAGTAACGATTTATATCGCCGAAAAGGTGTACTTGGCCACCAAGTGGACAAATGATACGATCGATTTGAGCTTGATTCAAATTAAACGAGCTCATTCACACGAGTGGAGCAATTATTTTGAATATTATTAGGATATTTAGACATTTTTTGTGAGAAGAAGTACTGATTTTTGGAATAATTTTAAATAGAAGTTGAAGACAATTCATAAGATTTTGAACTAGTTGTTTAAATACTTTTATTGATTTCTCTTTTAAATTTGTAAGTAGTAAAATTTAAATAATGAAAACTAAAATGAGCAAATGAGGAAAATTTGAATTTCTTGAAAACGAAAATTGAATATTATAAAAAATGAATAATGTAGACTAAATTGTTCGTTTCATTTATAATACATCTTTATTTCAGTTTGAAAATAAATAAGCCAATGAAAGGCGTGTCATTGTCGTTCTGCCTACAATAAAGAAGGGCGGGCCTTTAATTCTATCATTTATCAACGAATCGTCATCAAGAGGAAATCGTTAGAAAAACATCAATTTCATGGTTTTTTCCGCACACGAAGTGTGAAGGAAAGTATAGCGATCGTCGTGAAAATTTTAAATTTTCGTTGTATACACGATAACTTACAAAATAGTAGAGCGATTTTGCTTAAATTTGGCCAGGAGGTAGCTTACGTAAATATCTTGGATGTATCAGAAGTTGGACCAAATTGAGCCAGTCCATCTGGTACTTTTGCTACATCATAGATTTTCATCCCTTGGATTTTTTCGGGAAAAAATTTCTTTTTTCACCACAAAAAAATGCATTTTTTGGTTATTTCTTAGTCTTCCTCGCGATTTTTTCGTGGTAAACCGTGTTAAACGATGTTTTACCACGGTGGCCGACCATGATGGTCTGTTTTTAATTACTTTTTTCGCTTCAAAATGCATTTTCTGGCTATTGCTGGCTGTTTTTTATATGTTAGCCGTGTTAAATGGTGTTTTCACCACGATGGACGATTTTGATGTCCTTTTTTCTGTTTCGAAAAACCCACGAAAATTCCTTGTATACACGATAACTTTCGAATCTCTTGAGCGATTTTGTTTAAATTTTGCAACGAGGTGTCTTATATAAATATCTTGAATGTATCAGAAGTTGGACCGAATCGGACCAGTCTATCTGGTACTTTTGGTATATCAGGGAATTTCACCCAAGGGTCCCCCCTTGGATTTTTCGATCGAAAAAAAAAATTATAGAATTTTTTTTTACTGTTTTTACACGATTTTCCCATGGTAAGTGATGTTAAATGGTGTTATAACACGATGGTCGACCACGATGGACTTCATACCATTTTTACATAGTATAGTCAATATGGGTATCATATGAAAGGTCTTTGAACGGAGATGAACATGAACACCATCCCGGTCCATCACAGTTATGTTAACACCACTTAACAGCATTTTTTTATATGAATAGTTGACGTGGGTGTCATATGAAAGGTTTTGAAATGGGCGTGGACATGGACACTATATCCGTCCATCATGGTGATTTTACTCACAACACACCGAACGAATTTTAACACCACGACGGAGCAAATGAAAATAGTTTCACCATCAACCATTGCAGGCTCCCAATCAACATCCTCGTTCAAATATTTCAAATAATCGCCCATTTTAACAAACACGACTGACTTTCTCAAATATCCCAAATCCAATGAAACATACAACCATATGATTGAAAAAAAAATTCAAAGCCATACTAATCTCCATAAAAATCCAAATATACTTTAACCCTTTGACGACCAAGATTGAACGGATATCAAAAATTAATTTTTTTAACTAGAAATATGACAAAAATGATGGGACATATATGTCCCATTGGTCGGTAACGGTAACTACCTTTGTATGGAAAAAAATATTCCTCCCATAAGAACTACGTGTAAAATCTTTTTCGTTTTTAAAATATTCAGAATTGTTTTGAACCGAAAATGGTTTGAATTGTGCTTTGTTGTGCCCATTTAATCACGAATTTAATGATATTTTTGTAAATTTTGGTGTTTGAAAATTCGCGAATAATGGCCAAAATACAGGGAAATACGGGGTATTTATTTACCTTTACCGACCAATGGGACACATATGTCCCATCGCGCCAAACGCAATAAAAAGTGGAAAAAAACGTTTTTTCTAAATAAAGTCGATGATTTTTGGAAAGTAATGGACATTTCGCACATTATTCCAAATTTTCAGCTTTAAAAGTTCCACCGTTAAAATTATATAGCATTTGGCGAAAGTTGAAAAAAAAGTTAAGATTTTTTGACTTTAGAGTGTTCTATCCAATCGCGTTTACAATAAATATCCAATATTATGGTACTTTCTGATAGCTACATTAATTCTCTTTCAAACGAAACCAATTTTACTAAAATTGGTTAAAAAATGTAGTTATTACAGATGAAAAACAAAATGGGACATATGTGTCCCATTGGTCGTCAAAGGGTTAAAATAAGAACAATTGCAACATTCTATCCAAGTGATCTATATTTCACATTCTACCGAAAATGTGCGGAAAAGTTCGTTTTACATGGTAAAACATTTTATTTTTTATAGAATTCGATGATTTTAACAAATAATGAATCAGTAAATGGATTTCCAAGAACGTCATTCCGCCAATACACGTGTCGGTTTGAAGTGATGTTTTATATCCTCTTTATTTACTTAGTTGTTGTTCTTCTTTTTTCTATCAATTTACTTTGTATGCGCTCATCAAATTTTTCTGAAAATAAATCCAATCGATATCAACTCTTGTTTAATTTCAATTATTTCTGAAGTGTTTTCGTCGTTGCAATTGCATTCCTAATACGGCCAACTATCATTTCATATGACTTGATGGCCACGTTCGTAAAGAGTGATATGTGATTCGAGAATTTTTGATGTGTCATGCTGTCTTTCGCTATTTTACGATATAAAAAGAGCGAGCTGTGTAAAGGGCTGAATCAGTAAGAATCCTTTATTTCGACTGCAGCTACCCAATCGAATACAAAGCAAGTAAGTAGCATTGAAGAATAAGCTCTTGTCGAAATTGAGAGTTTTAATAGACTCGTAAAATTATAATTAAATTTATAATTACACAAATTTTACAAATAATAATTCAAGTAGACATTTTATTGATATATTTTCTTTCTGTGTGTATAAAATCAAAACCACTACCAAAACAAAATGTCACGCAGTTTCGAATTTCATTTTGTTATGCTTTGGAATACAAAATAGCTGCATTCGCACAATTAAGAAGATTGACAAAATTTCCTACATTCCCAATACAAATTGTTCGTTTTCTAAATATCAAATAATTGATGGTAAACGCAAAGAAAAAATCGGATTTAAGAATTAGTTAATTGGAGTTCATCTGATCAAATTACCCTTTCGGAAATATTCTGACGGGACAACCAATCGATTGATTTTTAACTGCAATCAACTTGTGATTGCAGTAAACTATGATGACTGTTCTTGTACTGAGTCGAAAGTCGACTGGCTAAAAGTGGATTACCCAGTACAAAAACATTCATCATAGTTGACTGCATTCAAAAGTTGATTGCAGTTAAAAATGTCCCGAGCGACTGGCTAAAATTTCATCGAAGTCGACTGTTTTTCCTTACAAAACACATTTGCTCAGTTAACTAAAGTCGCTTATAGGTAGATTTGGGATTTCAGTTACAGTCAGACATTTTTTTCGACACGGCTAGTGCAATAAAGCTCTGTTTGGACGCTAAAATTAGTCGGGGTTTCATCTAAAATTTATTGCACCCATCGATTTTCATCTGAATAAATCCACAAATTTTGAAGTTTTCAGTAAAACAAAATGGAGCAAAATTTGGTAAAGACTCAAATAGATGAACATTTGATGACAATCCAGCGTAATACCGAGGCTACATTGAATCGTTTCGAAAGATCTGGTTTGACAGTTGACAAGATGTTTCTTGATTATCTCTTGAAGCTGTCTGTTGATCGGTAAATTTCATTCATAATTTTTGAAACTGTGCAATATTTTTTTTAATTTCAATCGATTCCATAAATCCACTCATTTGTTTAATAAAATTGCGTAGCTTGACACAAACATGCGACCGATTTGAAACGGACGCAAAATATAAAATGTCATGCACCGTTACTGCCGCGATGTCTCCAACTTCGGGAACAGAAAATTCAACTCCATCTTTAATAGAAGAAATTGGTGATTCAATGGGAAAAGGTGAAAATTCAGTGAAACGTAAGGCGGATGATGCGATGAAAGGCGAAAATGAGCTGTTGAAAAGGCAAAAAACAGTGGAAAAAACGGTGAATAACGATAAAAACGGTAAGCCGCTAGGTTTCAACATTGTAATTGACGATAACTTTCAACACTCAAAAGTTCATAGGCTTCATTTTTCACAGATACCACTGACCAGAGTCAACATCTGAAACGCACCATTTTCTTCTGTGTTCATTGTTTGGACGAGAGAAATCCAATTAAGTCCTTCAGTGGAACAGTCGAAGATGTGACTTATCACTGGTCAAAAGAACATTCGACTGAATCGAAGCCATTCCAGTTTTACGCCGTTGCTTTGCTCGATTGTTTCTATTGCAAAAAGGTCGGTTCCTATCATGATTTGATAAAGCATCACAAGGAAAAGCATGCAGATACCCAGTTTATAATTGTAGAGCAAGTAGACCAAACAAAGTGCGGAATGTGTCACTTCAAAGACGGTGATTTGAGTGAACATTTTAAAGCAAAACATGATGTGAACTCAACACCAAAGATATTCAATCCGATTTGCTATTCGGAAGAAAGAATTGCCGAGTTTTTGACAATTAATGTGGCGAAAAAACATCAATGCGATGCATGCAATCAAATATTTGAAACACAAGATGAAATTGGTGCACATTTCCAAAATTTTCACAACAGTCGAGCGGTTCAATCGAAGAAATTCGTTGACAATCGAATCACACCAGATCATTTGATTTGCGGTCATTGCCATAAAAAAGTCGATAGCAATCGATATTTGAATCATCTATCGGAGCATACCGTTAATTTTCGTTGCACAATGGTCAGTGTGTGCAAGTATGAATCCGTGCACCTGTCTCAAATGGCATTCCATGAAAAAATTGTTCACGACATCGATTCTTTGAACTATCATTGCTCCATATTTCCCGGTTGGATGAAGAAGAAACTCTTCAACACAAATATGGTGTTCAGCAATGGATTGGTGTTAAAAACGTACAATTTGCTCGGCACAACGTTTGATGATAGCAAATTGTTGGATAAGTTTATTCAAAAGTTTTTGGAGAAGGAAAAACAGCAAGCAAAACAAATGATTGAGGCACATGGCGAAGGCATGAATTTGAATGGGTCATCGAGTGATGAAAATAGGTATCGGGCTGCGAATGGAACAAACTTGAATAGTGTTCCAAATGATGGAAATTTGAAGGAGGCTCCAAATAACGCAAATCCTCCATTTGAGACCACCACGGTAACATTGAATGAAGAAGCTTCTGCGATAGCATTGAATGTCAACCGACAGAATGACCAACCGAATATTGAACTCCATGAGGTTGAAAATGACGCGAGTGGAAGTGAAACTGATTCAATAAGTGAACCAATACTGATGACGGCATTGAGAGATCAGCAAAAATTGATCAAAAACCTGTATGTCCAAGGAATCCCACGTAGTATGAACATCACAGATCGAAATGGAACTTTTCTCAAACTATGTAAGCAAATGGAAGTGGACATTTCTCATAGCAATATTCAGTCAATTGATCAGTGTAAAAAAGGTTTTATTGTGAAATTGCATCGCATGGACACAAAAAATTTGATTATGAGCCAAACACGCGATAAATTTGTTTGGTCAAATGAACTGTTCAAATTAACTGGAAGCCAAAAACCATGGAAGGTTTATATTAATGACCAGATGACCCATTTCTACGCAAAAATGTGGTTTGCTGCAATGGATTTGAAACAAAAACGGCATTTGCATTCATATAAGTTGACCAAAGATGGATTTGTGGTGAAACGAACATCAAGGGACGATGAACGGGTCATTTTGTCCGAAGAACAGCTTCGCGAGTATATCAGACCGGTACATGGTCGAAGAAGTCAAACGTGATGGAGAGGGTAATCTGGACTTATCCGTCTATGCACCGGTTTGATCGAAAATGACCAAAATTCGGACGCAGTTTCAGTATAGATTAAGCCAATTTTTGATATACCTTTAACCGTTTTGTATGAAGAAAATTCAATTTTTTGTTCACAATTTTCAGTCACGTCCATATAGGATGGAAATAATTTTCAAGCACTTTTATGAGTGTATAAAAATAAAATGTATTCGAATTTGATCTTCAATAAATGGACAGCGCGAATTTAAAACTTGAATTAATTTGTTCAAAATTAATCGATTTTTTTTTAAATTGATTCGAATTGACTTTTTCTCAGAGAACAAAATTGACTGAATTTTATATTGTTAGATTTTCGTATCCGAAAATTTTACTCTCGAAATTGTTGAAAGCACGGAACACATTGAAATTTCGGTTTTGAATTGATTGTTGATTGCAGCAACCGATATCATGAATGTTTGAATTGACTGATCGGAACAGCTCCAATATTATAGCTCCGTGTTGAATATGAACGATTCTCTTGAATTGTGAGAACTAAATGCATTACGAAGATATTCATTCTGTCAACACACGTGTCGGTTTGAGAACGGTGTTTCATATTATCTTTATTTGCTTTCTTAGTGGCCCTGGCCATTCTTCCTAAACAAAATGAATCACATCGATATCAGTTTGATTTCAAATAATTTTGAAGTGTTCAATAAATACTGTTTATCATCGTTGCAATTGCATTTGATATTGTGACATGCGCACTATAGTGGGCCCACTTATTTACTTTATTATAGTATCGTATGACGTTTGTGCAGAGTGATATGCGAGTCGAGTGTATTCGACGCGCAAATATCATGCTGTTTTGGGGATATAAGAAGAAAAACCATCCAAAGAATTGGATCAGTTCATTGTGATCGCAGTTACCAATCGAATACAGAGCAAGTAAGTAGGGTAGAAAAAAATCTCTCGTTTCAAATGGATTTCAATTATTTACCTCAATTTTACGTGTTATAATTCAATAAGAAAATGGATCAATATTCATTCCGAAGGAGATTTTATTCGCTAGAAACTTTCGCTACATTTGAATCTGTACTATGTGTTGTATAAAAGCGTAATATTGTGTAATTATTGGGACGTGTACTTGCTGAATTGATGTACTCTATCTTTTGATGTACACTTTTTTTTGAATCTAGCCATTTTTACCAATCACATTGATATCTGTAGCATCTCATCACATCTTTATGCTGAAATTCCATACCTAATTGGATATAATTCCACTGACTCTTTGGTCATAATTTCCCCGAGAAATTATGTCCATATGCATTTGGATATAAATTCTTCTGATATTTGGACATAATTTCTCAAATCAAAATTTTTTCGATGGGGAAGTTATGTCCAAATCTGAAATGGAATTATCATCTCCATTGGTACATACATAAACCATTGGTACATGCATAAAACATTGGGACATCGGCATATTGAAGAAGAGATGGAGAATGAGAAATGTGACGATTAGCCCAGAATTCTTGGAATTTTGGGTCGGTTGGAGTAAACGCAACACGACGGTATCACCGTCGGCACCGCGTGCACCTCCAATAGATCAATCGACACATTTCTCATCCCGTTGTTTTTTTTTATGAATGCGATGATATTGAGCACTTTCACACTTCAGTCTGAAGTAACATGAGTGACAAGCAAGTCAATTTGTGCTAAAATTTTGAGTTTTTTCAATCAATTTTATTTTTGTTTCGTGTTCAAATAAAAAAAAATGGTTGAGCCAACAAAATTGCGCGTAATCGAATTACGCCGAGAGTTATCGGACAGAAATTTAGAAATTGGTGGAAAAAAAAGTGAACTCATTTCTCGCCTCCAATTCGCGTTAGATAAAGAACGACGAGTGCAGCTCACTCAAGCAAGTGAGAGTGCCACAAATCACGATGAACGTAATTCAATCTCAATTCAAGAAGGTGGTTCAATTAACGACAACGATGAAAATGATGCAGACCACGCATTTCGTACCCAAGCATTTGAAATCTTAATTCGCGAAAAACATAGTGAAAATAGTGTGAATGGTCCAAGTGAACCAACCGTGGTTGAAATCTCTGAGGCTGATAGTTCAATTGACGAAAGCAATAATGAAAATGATGCAAATGATGATGATAATAATTTCATTGCGGATATCAGTGAAGTCACATATGAACTTATGCAAGGCAAGCGGGCAAACAGCGAATTTCTCTACTCAAAAGAAGAACGACAGTTCTATGTGAAGAAGAAAAAACTCGCTAACGGTGTTGTGTCTCTAATTTGCCGCACCAGCGGCTGCAAAAATCATTGCTACCTTGACGAGGAGAATAAAAAGTGTTCATTACCGGTGCCTTATGTGCCGCATACTCATCCTACTAAAGAAGAAGAGTACAAAAGGTTATGCGTTTTGAACAAAATTAAAAGTGATTGTGCTAACCCGAATATTGTTGCAAAAACAGAAACGAAAACTTCTGTAGTGAAGTCAATTTTCAAGGAAACAATCACCGAGAACGAGGATTCGAGCATTCAATACCATCGCATCGAACGAACATTGCGTCGAATCGCCAATAAAACTATGCCAGCTGCACCGAAAACCATCGATCAAATCGGGACGACGTTTGAAAATGAGCATGTGAATCGACTGTATGGCCAAACTTTACACAAATCCGATACCGAAAAAAATCAGTTCTACAGAACCACACACGTATCTGATGAGTATGCCTACTCAGTGTTCGCTTCACAGCGTTGCATTGATTTGATCGAGGCTCACTATCAGGTCAATGAACGGAGATACAATATGGACGCAACTTTCAAAGTTGTGCCGCGACTTTTCTATCAACTTTTGATCATTTATTTCGAAACACCTTCTAAGCAGGTAAAATTTTCATTTTTAAATATAATAAAATTGTTTTTCATCGGATTTTTTTTCATTTTCTCGTATCAAAATAGACCGTACCGTTCATTTTCGTACTGATGACCCGAAAGACAGAGGAGAGTTATCGGCATATTTTTAAATACATTGATGAAAATGTATTTTCACTGAAGTGCAAGTCATTTATGACCGATTTTGAGCTCCCGATGAGAAACGCCCTCAAGTCCGTTTACCCAAATTCTGATCATAACACTTGCTGGTTTCACTTGACCCAAGCGGCCAAGAAAAACATGTCGAAGTTGAGCACACTATCGAAGTTAATCCGAAGAAATGATGAGGCACGCACGATTTACAAAAAATTATTGGCGTTGCCACTGCTGCCAGCAGATCTCATAGTTGAGACATTTCACAAATTGAAGACTTTGGCTCTATCAAAATTCAAACAATTCAAAACGTATTTGGCCTATTTTGAGCGACAATGGCTGCAACGGGTATGTTTTTTGTTCTATTTTTTCTAGTTTTTTTCGCATATTATTTATTACAATCCACGTATTATTCAGATTTTTTTTTCAAAATATTTTTTTTTCTACAACAGGAAGGGGCCAACAAGATTTCGGTGTTTCTTCTCATCACACGAAGTCAAGCTGCCGTGGAGGCATACAACGGATATCTCGGTCGAAAAATCATTGCCCACGCTAATTTTTTTGTGCTTATCAACGCCTTGCGTGATGAAGAATTCCACAAAAGCCGTGAGTTTGGCCTGCTTCTTTCGACCGCTAACCCACCATTGCAACGACGCCACTATCGCATTCAGGATGATAAAATCCGCAAGATAAGTGAAATGTTGCAGAAGAAGCAAATTGATGTTGATGGTTTTCTAAATGGAATAACCTGCCCTGACAACAACATTTTTAGCGACGAGCACTTTGATTTTTTGGACGATGGTGTTTCTGATGATGAGGACGAAACGGAGCCAATTGCATCCAATTCAATCAGTTCAGGAAGCTCGGCAATCTCCGGGAAAACTTGTGTGATTTGCCTCGAGGCAACCAGCGATGTTCTGCTGTCATGTGGGCACTACAAGTATTGTTTGAGATTCTTCGAGCTTGAGAGAGCTAATTTCAACGAAAAGTTGGTTGAACATCAGCTATGCCGGCGTGACATTGAACCCACATTTAAATGTCCTCTTTGCCAAGCCCAAATAACGAGCCACATGCACGTTAAAAAAATATTTGTTGATTGAATAATAATTTTTCATAAGAATCAGATTTGAAATTTGCTGGTGTTTCTCACCTTGAAAATTGTGGCTCAACTGAATACGAATTTATTATAAACCCTGGTTTATTCCATCTTCAGACTATTTTATTTAATAAGTACCAAAGATTTGTTTAGATTTAGACGTAAAACTTTTCATTGATTTATTTTTTTGTATGCAATAAATCAAATGATGACTTTTGCAGTCATTATGCCGTCGTTGCAATGCTAAATGCTTCTAATAGCTTTAATTCTTTACACGTTTACAAAAGGCTATTTGAACCATTGGCAGTTTGACGGCCTTTTAGGCAATTTCTTTATCTTTTTATAAACTTTTTTTTAATTTTTTGCTTGGCGGTGAATAAATAAAAATAAGTTGTAAACAAAAAAGCGGTGAAAAAATAAAACAAAAACAAACAAACATTTTGGGCCAAATTTTTTTACATTCAATAATAACGCTTCAAGTGACGCTAATTTCATTATTTATGTACAATTATTCGATGAAAAATACGTGGGGAAATTATGACCATTTTCAATTGGATATAATTCCACTGACTCTTTGGTCATAATTCCCCCGGGAAATTATGTCCATATGCATTTGGATATAATTTCTTCTGATTTTTGGACATATTTTCTCTAATCAAAATTTTTTAGATGGAGAATTTATGTCCAAATTTGAAATGGAATTATTTTCTCCGTCATTTCGGCCATAAATTCTCCATTCATTTTGTATGAGGGAAGTTATGACCGGGGAAAATATGACCGGTCACCCTAATAAGAAGCAAATGGTGGTACGTTTAAGCCCAAGTCTGATCTATTGCATGATATGAGTGTGAAATTTGCTGTGAAATTCAATCAAATGAGAATTGCTTACAAAATAGTCCATCGAATACAGAAAATACTCAAGACCGTTTAGAGAAATCAAATGTTCACTTCGAACTTCATCTAATCGCTTCAATCTAATTTAAATCAAGAAAAAACGACTTTCCAATTTAAATTAGTTTGTTTTCGGCAGCAATGGGGGACGATTTCGTAAAAACGGAAAAGTTGGTGGAAAAATATTTGAACAATATTGAAAAGAAAATAACTGACGCATTTTATGGGTTCAAAAAGGAAGGCGTCCTAACGAAAAAATTTACCGAGTCATTTATGAAGAAGGCAACAGAACGGTAAATAATTTCAAAGAAACCATTTCAGACTAGATTCAAAACTAAATTTCATTCTCCAGTGTGAAACAAGCGTGTGAGCGTTATGAATCGCGGCATAGGCCAAATTTGCCGGTATCGAACGAGACCGTAAGTGGACAGATGAATTCGTCAAACCGTAGCAATCCAGCAAAACGAAAGCTAGAAACTACTGAAAGTGATCGTTCGAAGAAGCAAAAATCGAGTGAACCCACCTCAAGTGATGATAAATTAGGTCAGTTGAAGCAATACTCTGTTTTAGACTTCATTTGTCTTATTATTTTTTTATACTTGCGAGTAGTTTGTGTGTTTGTATAAATTGCTTGATAATACAATATCGACTCATTTTTTTCACTAGACCCAATTGCATTGATTAAACAAGAAAAAAAACCAACTGTAGGACCATCGAATGAAAATACCGAGTATTTGGTGTTGAAAAATGAGTCCGAAACAGTGGTATCTAATACTGATATTTCAAATCCAGACAAGGAATCATCATCACAAGGCATCCGTGGAGCATCCACTGAACTGGGTCGTAGTATTGTGCAAAATCATCTGATCGAACAACTTGAACGTGCAAACCAAATTTTTATCACCATTCCAGATCGTTTGATCTCAACGGAACAAAGTCGAAGAGAAATATTTCATAAAATTTGCGAACGCTTGAATGTGAACGTTTCTTTTGATCAAATCGAAAACACAAACCGCGAAGATAATGCCTTAATTGTAAAGTTTCGTGATATCAAAGTAAAAGAAATGATCATGGAGAGTGCCGATGGGAAAAAAGTTTGGTTGGATCATATAATCAATGGCGAAAAATCGTGGCGCATTCATGTACGGCATTATTTGACACGATATTATTCGAAATTATACGGTGCAGCGCAGGAATACAAAGAAACGAGATTTCTACACTCATTTAAACTTACCGACGAAGGTCTTGTGGTTAAGCGCAAGGAAAGCAGCAAAGGAATAGTGGTGCTATCAATGCGTGAACTCAATGAATATGTTACTATGAAATAAATTTGAAGAACATCCAATGCATAGTCTCCGGCAGATGTTTATAAACAGCAGCGTGTACTCCATGGAAGTCTCTTCTCTTTATTTGTTTCGTCTTATTTTATTCTCTCTGATTTAAAAACGTCCTGCTTTCAATCAACAACAGAATATTTGAATATACTTAAATGTTTGTTTGATAGATTTATAGAGTTTCAAATAAATATTACAACAATGTTATCAGAACTAGACAGTGTAGTAAAGATATGCGTTTGCCTATATGCAGAATGCATTCAATGTGTGCCATCATTCCAATTTATTTGAATAAATATTTATTTTTTGAAACTGGTTTCATTTTTCGTTTTTTTATTTCTTTGGTTGTGTTGGAATTTGCTTAATTATAGCTCTTGTTGACCTTTTTCGCATTAAACTTGAGTTGTCAACAAGCAGGTCTGCTTTGAATCAATTCATTTTATGTGGTCTCATAGCCGTAGAGCGTATGCACCTATGTATTTATGATACCAAGATCGCTTTATTCGTATCTAAATACATAGAAGAGATTTGACGTAAAACACCAAGACACTCTCTAGACGGTACAGCTTGAAGCTGTCATTAACACATTGTCGTTCGTGCACACAGTGTCACACACATACACAAACATCGAAAGTGCCCGTGGACTTTGACAGTTTAATGCTTTCCTTGCTTAGAAAGGCGATATCGTTTTTGATTCACCAAGAACGCAAGCTTGATGATACACATATGCATGCACTCTCCGACTTAATATACATGTAATACATTTTAATATGTGAGAATGTATAAATCGAGTGTATAAAATGATATTGTATTCAATGTTTATCTTATCTGACCGTGAATTACGAATAGTCACTTACGATCTAATACTAAAAGTTCCCTGCAAAAAATCGATTTTGAACAAAAAACGCATTGAAACAGTTGGCAACAGATATCAATCAAACCTTTGGAATATTTGCTTATCTTAATCAATAAAACATATCGATAGTTCTCTTTAGTATTAGAATTTATTTGAGCAATCTGTTGTTTTGTTCAGAAAAGCTTCTGCGATTCCTTAATTAAATCTTATTCTTTGAATTGAATTTCTTCCAATTTCAAATAAATAAATTCATTTTCTTTCTAACATTTCAGAACTGGAACAAGTGTAGAAAATTTCAACGAAAATGACCGAAAATATTTTATTCAGAACACTAATGGATGAACATCTGAGCAATATGGAGCTTGTCATCAAAAATAGTCTATATCGTTTCAAGGCAATCGCTTTAACAATGGATAGTGATTTTCTGGATGATTTCGAGGAGAAAACGGTTGACCGGTAATGATATCAATTTCTTTGTAAATGTCTTTTTCAAGATCAATTGAATTGATTCAATTCGACGAAATTGGACGAAATAGAATAATCTTCACATGATATCAAAAAAAATAATATTTCGAGTCATTTTGCAGTGTAAATCAAGTGTGTCAACATTTTAAATCGATCTTACAAAATGCACCATCAAGTTCGAGGGCGAGTGCGTTAGCAACAAAATCAAGTGAAACGAAAGCAATGCCACGGAACATAGCAAAAAGACAGTCGAACATCGAACCAACTGCAACGCGATCGAAAATAGTGAAGAAAAGTGAAGGTAAGTTCCATTCATTTAAGTGAATTTTCCAAATGACGAATCATTTTGCAAGCATATCAAATGTTATATATTTAAAAAATCCGAGGGAGTAAATGTTTCTTTGTTCCAGCTGAAATCCTAACCGAAATATCTGAAGATGAATCGAGTTCATCCAATGATTCCGGTCCAGAGTCTGAGAACATAGGGAAAAAATACATTTGCATTGTTGGTATCCATGACAGTCTCATGCAGGATGAACGGAAGCTAAGAGAACCATTTAAGAAACTGTGTCAAGTTTTGGGTGTGCCGGTGCTGGACAAAGATATTGAAAAAATCTACTCAAACAAACGAGTCACACCGCATTCCCTCATTGTTATGTTAAAACGAAGTGACGTGAGAAAACAGATTACCAGACGCTCGAAGAAAATCAACATTTCACCGAATTTGAATGTGATAAGCGGGAATAAGAACGCAAATAAAATCACCATTGGTCCATACAAAATTCCCGGTTGGACTCAAAAGTCATACACTGCAAAGCCAAAAGCAAAGGTTTGATTAATTTATCTGTTTTGATTTTTAATTGCAATGAATTCATAAAATCTGGACATCTATTTTTAATTTAATATTTTTTCTTGCCAGGAAAAATGTCCAAGAGCAAAACCAAGAAGCCGAAGAAATTGAATAAAATTGAAATTAGTGGTTAAAAGAAAAAGAAAGCAGTAAAAGACGAAGGTGTGAGAGAAGGAGTTTCAGAGAGGAAGAGAGAAGAAAAAAAACGCAAAAGAGGGCAAAAATGTCATAACATTTTCCAATAACATTATTGAATTTTTTCCTACATTTTTTTTGCAATGAATAGATTGATTTAAGAACCTGAATCTCTAATGATTCATTAGTAATGAAACAATAAAGAGCTACAGATCAAATATTTCAAACTTTTGTGTTATATTGAATGCATAACGTTCTATTTGATAGGCGAGAGATGAAATGGGTGAAACGAACGGCGAAATGCGAAAGGCAAGAGATGAAATAGGTGAAATGAACGGCGAAATGTGAAAGGC